AGAAAAAAATTAAAAATTAGAACATATTTTAAAAATAGGCATAAAGAATTATATAATTCTTATGTTTACACATAAGTCAAAAATCTAACCATATACAACCTTGAAGCAGGACAGTCCCACAACATTCCTTTTCCTATTATTAGTTCTTCAAACTAAGTGCTTTACTGGTTTCTCTTACATTCCAATCGAGACTTTTTTTTCTTTTTTAAGTGCATGAAGTCTACATGTACATACACCAAAGTTGTTGAACTGGTTTCAATACAGCTATCAATTCTGACCCATCAGCAGATGCCAAAAGAGGTCAAAGGACAATACTCAGGCTCCATGGGGGGGAAAAAAACTCATAAAGAAGTGAATAAAAAAATGGTGACACAATTGCCAAGTATTTGTCATACATGAAATGCATCAAATTATTAATAGTGGTTATTTCTAGAAGCTGAATTAGAAGGCTTTCATTTTCAACCTACATATTTCTACTATGCCTGCATTTCTTTAAACTTTCAAAATCAGCAAAAAGCAATAGACATTTTAAGTAATAAAGGATACTGTAATTTCTTTTTTCCCATAATTTTATTGAGAAACAAACAGCAATGAGACAGCTTCAAATCAAATTGGTAGGACAGTTTCAATGATACTGTAATTTCTTCGTGAATATTTAAAGTGGTATAATTTCATTACCGCCTATAAACTTAGAATGTTTAAAAATTTTTCCAAAACAAAATTCTTAAAATTTATAAAAGATGAATTTTTATAAAATTAAGTTATTTGGATAATCTTTAAACATTATTTCTAACATGAACATATTAAACTCTTTCCCAAGGTTATTAGGAAAGGATAAAATAAACTAAAAAGTCATACAAAGAAGGGCACATTAGCACTTTTTAACACTTACAATTCAATTTCAACCTTGCCTTTGGAACATCCTCTCTTCACAAAAAACCCAACCTAAGACAAAGAAGAAAAGGTAAATGGTGTGATAACATTACCAGGCCATAGAAATTTGACAATTTTACTATACTTCTCAAATCTAGATTTTTTTCAAAAATTACTTGAGGGGCCAGAGAGATGGCTCAGTAGAATAAGCGCTTGCCCGGCAAGCACAAGGGCCTGAGTTCAATCTCCGGTTCCACCAAAAAAAAAAAAAAAAAAAAAAAACATGGCAAGTGCAAGGGCCTGAGTTCAATCCCTAGCAAAAAAAAAAAAAAAAAAAAAAAAAAAATTACTTGAATGTCCATTCCATTAGTTTCTAAAGGTGTCATTCTCAGATCTAGATCTTTCCATTATTCCCTTCCTCAAAAATAATACTAGTATTATTTATGGAACTCCTATGTGCCAGGCAGGCAGTCTCTTATGAAGCGTGTGACAAAGCCAGTAAATGGCAGCACATAGATCTGAAACTGGGTAACCTAGCTCTAGAGCCTGTGTACCACAAAGTACTATGCCAAAGCTTCTTATTCCTACTGAAGATTTCCATGAACTAAATTTTAATAGCCACTCTAATATTACCTATCCTCTTATTCATAGGATATAATTATCATCAGGTATCTTTTTTTTTTTTTTTTCCTGTATTTTACAGAAGGGTCTACAGAGTGTTCAGGGTCTCACCACTAGATTGGACTCGTAGTGATCCGCCTGTTTACAGCCCCCCCAAGAGCTGGGATTGCAGGCGCGTGCCACCACACCCAGTCTCTATTGCTGTCTCAGTGCACCCCGGGGGCAGGAACGGCATAGCAGGCCTGGGGATCGAACCCCTCGCCCCTGCACCTTCTTGCTGGCGGTTTAATCCACTGAGGTGGCCCTAAGGTATCTTTTTTAAAAGGATGTAAAATTGAGACCAAAAAGATGAAAAGAAAGCTTGTCCCTGTAACTAGAAAGCGCAGCCTGATGATTTAATAACTACCGTGTACATTTTAAATCTCAACTCTGTCATATATAAAGTGTTTGATCTTGGTCCAATTATTTAGCTTTCTTTGTTTTCTCATAGAGGGAAAACAAACATGTCTTGCTACATTAGCTTATAACAAACAAAACACTTGTTACCAATGAGAAAGGGGGAAAAATCAGGAGACAGTATTTTTTATCCATTCAGGTGGCACAGGATATGACTGTGTTGAATTTGATGTATAATAACACTTCAACAAAAACATTAAAATAGTCTGGCTGAGGGCTGGAGGATCCCTTAAATACTAAATCTAGATAGCCAAAAGGCTGCAATTGGTAGCTAGAAAACAGTGCACTCCACAGACTCCCTCAAAATTTTTATCACTCCACTATCAGGGAATGTAGTTTATGACAAAAAACAAAGCATAGGAAGGTTGGTAAAAATTGATATAGCCCAATTCATCCAAACAGCTAACAGACTAGATAAAGACTAGAATCTTAACTCATGATTGTGCTCTGACAATTAAAAAACTACCTATAACTAGAAAAATTCAGAAAAATCTGGGCTGATCAGTGGACAATTATTCCAACCTCCCTATCTTTGTTGTTGCTTTTGGTTCTAAGACTGGATCTCACTTTATAGTTTAGGCTGATCTTGAACTCACAGCAATTCTCCTGCTTCAGTCTCCTGAATGCTGGGATTACAGGCACTCACCACCATGGCCCACCCCTTATCTTTGAAATTAAGAAAAAGTGAAGTCTAGATCATGGAGTAAGGTCACAAGACTAAGCATTAATAGAAGTTTCTTTTTCTACATCATAAATGCCTCCAATATATCATTTAAAATTTTTAATAGGCTTACTTATAATTTAAGAGGTATATGGCTCAATCTATAACTCTCCATTAAGTTTTAAATTTAGAGGTTGGGGAGATAGCTCAGCAGCCTAAGTGCATGCCTGACAAGTGCAAGCCTGACAAGTGCAAGGACCCATGTTCGATCCCCGGTACCACCTGCTGTGCTAACCCCAGAACTGCTAGCCACCCAAAACCAAGCATGGTGGTGCATGCCTATAATCCTGTGCTGGGGAGGCTGAAACATAAGGATCACTACGAGTCCCAGCTGTGTAGCAAGACCCTGTACCAAATAAATAAGTAGATTTTTTAAAAATATTGATAAATTTTAAGTCTAGCTAAAAACATTATAATATTTAGATAATTCAGTATTGCAATATTATCTCAAGTTTAAAAGTACCTCTAATAGTGGGTGACAATTCAATTCTCAGATGTTCTTTTACAAATATATTTTCTGTGAAATCAATTATATACCAATAGCATATACAAACTCCATGTATTATTTGTAAAATAAAACAACTGCATATCACCAATTTAAGAAAATGAACATTCATTAAATCTGACATTCTTTATACAATTCATTCTAATTCCATCCCTCTCCCCTTAACAAATGTACTTGGTATGCTAACTTATTAATCATTTTGATTCACTTTAGTTTTACTAAATACATACATTCTCCGAACTAAGTAAATTATTTTATCTTTTTTTTTTTTTTTTTTGGTGGAACCGGGAATTGAATTCAGGCCCTTGCACTTGCCAGGCAAGTGCTTATTCTACTGAGCCATCTCCCTGGCCCCAATTATTTTATCTTTTGCTATCTTATTAAAGTCATATTACATGTACTCTTCCAAGATCAACAACATTTTCACTTAAAATGTTTTTGAGAGTTAACCATTTCTTCCACATGATTTTTCTCCCATGTTTTGTGATTTTTAGCCATCAATTCAACTTTTTAGATTATGTTAAAATTCTTTTAAGCATGAGATTAAAAGGCTTACATCTGTTCTGGAGATATGTGGAGAATATCAGTAACTGACGTAAATACATGGAGATATCAGTAACTCAGACGACTTTAAACTAAAATTATAATATGCTGTTTAGGCCATGTAGATGATACGAATTCTGGCCCCAAAAAGCTGTGATCATCTATTCTTTGTATGATTTTCTCACCAACTCCTCCTCCCCTGCTACCCTGTAGACCTGATAATTATGCAAGTAAATGAATTATCTAATTCTGTGATTTTTTTTTTCTTTCCTGTTCCAGGCATTGAACTTGGACCTTGTAGGCAGAGGCTTATGACTCTGAGCTACATCCCCAGGCCCAAGGATATAATCTTTTTTTTTTTTTCTTTTGGTGTTTTTGAGACAGTGTCTCACTATGCAGTTCAGGCTGGCCTTAAGCTCACTTTATAGTCCAGGCTGGTCTCAAACTCACAGCAATCCTCCCATCTCAGCCTCCCAAGTGTTAGGATTACAGGCGTGTGCCACCATGCCTGGCTTCAATTGTGATACTGTTTTTCTTCTTCACACAGGTTTTATCTTCTAGCCCTTTTCTACCTTTAGGATCCTCTTTATACTCAAAAGTTACACCTGAAGGTACAAGGTTATCAGCAAATGACCACAGAAAAACTATTTCAAGCTGGACATGGTGGCACACGTCTGTAATCCTAGCACTGGAGATGCAGGCTGAGACAGGAGAATCACTGTGAGTCTGTGGCCAGGCTAACCACAAAGTGAGCTCATGGCCAGTCTGAAATACATAATGATATCCTATCTCAAAAACAAAACAAGAAAAGAGGAAAGAAAAAAACTGTTTCAAAGCTTATCTTCAAATTCACACTATTTTGTTTTTGCCTTTGGAAAATTTACTCATTTCCACAGGCCTTGAAGTGTATTTTTAAAAAATGACACATTACACTTAGCATTTAAGGTACTGAACATTCAAAGAAGTCATTAGGTGTATATTTCTAGACAAAAAGCCCTAGTTTCTACCTACCAAAGTCATCCCTCATACTCCATCACTAACTTTACAAGGAAACTAATACATAGTAATTGATTTATTTTTAAAAGCAATTAATGACTGAATTAATTAAAAGCAATTTGCTTACTCACCTTATCTGCCCGTCCCATAAAAGCAGGTTTGCCTGCTAATCCAAGGCAAATGGCACACACAATGCTTGACTTCCCTGTTCCATTAGCTCCAATGATCATGTTCAAATGGGGTCCAGGAGATACTTCACAGATATCGTATGTTCTAAATTATATAGAGGTGAAATCATTAAACAGAGATAAGAGAAAAAATATTTTCTTTATAAAAGCTTTTTATTGCTTTATATTGTCATTATCTATGATCTTCTTCAAATTCACTGTTATCTAGCCGGGCAGGTTGATAAGCACACCTGCAATTCCAGTATGGGGGACACTGAGGCAAGAGGATCTGTTTAAGTTCAAGGCCATCCTGGGCTACATATTGTACTGAGTTAATAGCAAGCCTTAACTACATGTGATATCCTGGCTCAAAAAACATAAAATAAAACTGGTCTTTTACAATAAAATAATATGAAAAGGTATGAGAATTTCTGGCCTGTACCTTAGAGATACTATAAATATAGAACTTGACAGAAACAAGACAAATCCTCTGCATTTTAAAAATTTACTTTTCTGACTCTGTATTTACTTCTAGCTTAATGAGTTCCCTTTTCTAATGAGGTACCTCTGAAATAGCTGTCAAAGACTCCTCATTTTAAAAACTTGAAGTAAGGCCAGCTAGAGAGCTCAGTGGACTAAAGCGCCTGCTTCAGCAGAGATCAGCAGCCAGGATTCAATCCTTGGCATGCCATGCTGCCCCACCCTCAGGGCGCACTGAGATGGCAATTGAGATTGGGCATGGTGGTGCACACTTATAATCCCAGCGCTTAGGAGGCTGAAAACAGGAGAATCACTGAGTCCCGATTTACGTAGTGAGACCCTGTCCTAAATTTATTAAATCAGTAATAAATAATGAAAATAAAAAAGTTGAAGTATCTCACATATTTTCCATGGCCTCAGGTAGCATCTACTTTAAATGCCAGCCCAGATGACTAACACATGCAATTACCACCGTAATAAATAGTTGCATGTCTGACCAAAACTACCCAACATTTAACACATTCAAAACTAACCCAGGGGGCCTGCCCCTTAGCTCAGTTCTTAGTAGCTGTTTCAAAAAGCAGTCAGGCTCAGGTTGCTGTGATTCGATCCCCACAACTCAAGCCAGCCAAACCTGCCCTGAAGGCATTCGGAGAAAAAAAAAAAAAAAAAAAACCAAAAACTAACCCAAGTTTTCTTATCTAAAACCACTCTTGTGGTCACTTAATGAGATAGCTTCACCCCGATGTTCAAATTAGAAACCTAGAGATTTTTGTATCATCTTTCATCTCTTGCCTCTACCCATATCAGTGTCCCCCAACCACCATCCAATCAATGACCAAGAGCCTTCTCAAGGCCCCATGCAATCATAGGTGAGGCTTTTTGAAGGTGACTATGTCTAGGTTGTGTGATGGTGAGATTAAGGATGCCTCACTTTAGGTGCATTTGGTGGTTAACAATCAAAAGGTGTGTAGCTGGATGAGTTAAAAGGGAGAGAGATAGGCTTGTTCTTGCGGTTTCTGTTTTCCTCCTTGCCATTTTGCTGCCTGCTTTGCCATGAACTTATTTGTTTCTCCCCTGCCTTCCACCCTGCCTTGGAGCCACTGAACTATAGAGTGAAACCTCTACAAACTGTGAGCTGACATAACTTTTCCTCCTTTCATTCTGGATGTTGGGTATTTTGTCTCAGCAATGAGAAAAAGATACTAAGTCACGATGGTAGACATGTAAATCTGATGTAACCTGCTAAAAAATAAAAATAGAAACCTTACAGGAAAACAAAAGACTTCTTGTAATTTACCTCTAGAATCTTTTCTCACTATCTCCCTTCTTATTGTCTTTATTTTCCCAAATTCCATCTACAAGACACTGTATTGTATATGGGTAGGTAGGTAGCTAGGTCTGTTTGTTTTCCAGTACTGGGAATAAACCTAGGGTTTTACACATGCTAGAAAAGTGCTGCCTGTGTGCTACATCCTCAGATCTTTATAAATTTTATTTTGAGATAGGGTCTTGCTAAACTGCCCAGGCTTGCCTCAAACTTGTGATCCTCCTGCCTCAGCTTCTCCAGTAGTTGAGATTATTTACAGGCACATGCCATTTTCTTGACAAATTTACACTTCTTTTTCTCTAACCCTTAGCATACTACTGCTTCACCCTAGAAATCTCTCCCTCTATTCTCCATTAGGTTTATTTAGAGGAACCCCTCTAGACCATGTGAGTTCTCTAGACCTACCTCTCCCACTTCCTGGGAGCTTGCGGGTTAGCTCAGCTGTCTAAGCCCCTGCTGGGGCAAGCCAGTCAGACATAGGGGTCTGCAGTTCGGATCCCCAGCTTCCCATACCTTACCAAACTCGCCCTTAAGGCAGATTGAGCCGGCCAAAAAAAAAAAAAAAAAAAAAAAAAAAAAAAAAAAAAAAAAATCCTTGCTAATTCTCTAAGTCTACCACTCCATACTTCACTCCTAAACTCAGTCATGAAAATAATTAAAATTTCACTTAGCTCTGTACTTCCCAGCCACCTTTTTCTTCTCCTCTTTAGGTCCAACCTTTACTTCCTCATTTCTTTCATTTTCCTCTGGTCTGTAGTTTTCTACTGCTTCATTAAGGAGTCAAAGATTTCCTAACATGCAAAAGGATCAGGCCTATCACCTGGCTTTAACAGGTGATATTTCTTTCTGCCGTTGAGCTCCAGATTCTTATAAATTCCTCTCAGAGAACATCTCTTAGCAAAAGAAAGCCTAGTCACAGGCTAAAAAATAATCTGTCTCCCCAGACTGAATAGTACTTATCAGTTAGCAAAAGCACAGACTTAGGAAAACATTTGCTGTGTCCTTCTCTTACAGAACCTAATGAATCTCTTCTCAGTTCTTACTATGCTCAAACTCTCTTGCCTTCATGTTAGAAAAATCTTTTTGCCTCCAGTCTTAAGCCTTTAACCTTTAAACCCTCCAAAATGCTTCCAAGTGAATACAAACCCACATCATTTCCTGCATAAAAGACATCCAGCCTGCCAGGCAACCTGCCTATAAAGCTGGAATTTCTTTCTGTGAACACCTTAATTCAACAATCTTCACTCGAGTCAACATTTAATTTTAACATGTATGAAACCAAGCGTCCCTGGCAGCCACACAGGTATAGCAGACAGGTATAGTTAAGAAACAACTTTATTTTGAGCAGGGAGAATGACAACACAGCACTTAACAGCTATATTGTAGTCTGAATCCTGCTTGAACAGCTACAATCTCTTAGCACAGTAAATTTGACAAAAGTAGCCTACCCACGTCCACACATTCATGGGAATCCTGTGCTGTAATTATACTGAAACATCTGAATTTCCTAAAACTCTAAACTTTCTTTCAGAAAGTACCTATTGTTTGCAAAACTTCTTTTAAGACGTTCATACCTTCTTTACAAAGTTCTTCCTGGACAAATGTGAATGAAATTAACCACTCCCTCAAGGTATCCTGGTAAACATGCCATCTTCTTGTAACTATATTTACTGATCTGAATTCAAATAACCATTGAGTTATGTATTAGGTACGTAAACCTGGGCAAAATTAACTAAGTTTATCTCATCAAAGGTAAGAGTTAAGACTAAAAAAAATCAATATGTTAAATAAAGCGCCTTATTCTGTATCTGGTACACGATAAATATTTGGGAAAACAATGCTGGGATTGCTATTCCAATTCTGTCATCAATATGCCACTGTGTGCAAACTTACATTTAAGTCTCTGGGAGAAAAAGTCTGAAAAACAAAATGAACTGTAAGAAGTTAAACAGACATACAGTACTTTTGTGATAACACATTTAGATTCTAAACTAGTAATCAGTTGTCTACAGGGAGAGAAGAGGAGCCAGGTAAGAATACTGTATTTGTAGGAGTCAAGGGTCTGCAGGGAGGTCCAACAACTGAAGGATGAATAACCATTATCCTCTCATTCTCTGTCCACCAAGCCGAGGGGATGCCTCCCCGTGAGCAACCTGCCACAGCAAGTTAAGGGTCGCCGCCTTCTCTATTCCATCACCATTCCTAACTAGTCCCTCGCGAAGGCCCCTGACTGCCCTACGCCTTCAAAAAAGAGGCAAATGAATTTTTTAAAAAACAAAATAACCCCACAAGACCTGTCTGCCACGGCCACACGCGGGGCCTGCGCAGGCAGATGCTCACGGGACGCCGCGCGAACTCCCGCCACGCTCCGCGCCCGCCCGCTGCTGCCCGCGCGCGGCCCGGCCCCTCCACTCACAGGAAGTTCTCCATGACGATGCGGACGATGGAGCCCTCCACGAAAGGTCCGGAGGGCGGCAGCCGCGACAGTAGAGGGCCGGAAGTCTTTCTCTTGCTCGGGACCTCGGAGGAAGGATCTGCCGGGAGTGCCCTCTTGAGGGCCGCCGGGGCTGGGGCCAGAGCCGGGGTCGGGGCCGGGGTCGGAGTCTGGGTCGGCATACTCCGTGCCGGGGTCGCCATCCTGGCCGTCCTTGCTCTCCGCAACCGCCTCCGCCTCAGCGCCCCACAGCCCAAGCGCCTCAGCGCCCCGCTCCCGCGCGAACTGGCCGCAGCGCGACCCCACCCGCGCGCATGCGCGCGCATGCGCAGTAGCAAAACCGGCGGCGCGCGCGCGCTCGCTCGCCCTGCCCGGACCCGCGGAGGGTGATCTCGGAGGCCTGGGGTCTGGGCATGTGTGCGGCCGGCGAGGCGCCCCCCCCCCCCCGCAGCGCTCGGCGTTTCCGCAAGCTGCCTTTGTTTTAAACACCTGGAAAAGATGTTAGTTGTGTAACCCTGAGCCTTGTCGCATGCAGCGGCTGGGCTCCTGAGGAGGCTTGGCGAGCGGGTGCGCTGGGCGCGCGCCCGGGCCCGTTCTGACTCAGCTTGCTCGGCCTCTTCTCAGGCGAGCGTCTGGGAAACGGAAAGAGAAAGCGTCCCAGTGGCTCCTTGGCCGCCTGTTCCGCGCACGGCTGCTTGCGCTGCCCAACTCGTGAACGCTGCACTGCCGCGATACCCTTGCTCTCCGCCGCCTAATTCCTGGCTCCCAAATTCCTTTCAAGTTTCCTTCGCGAAGTTTCTAGAAATACCCCGGCTAGAAGGCACTGGCTTTAAGAGCTGGGCCTGCTGGAGTGTGGACGCTGTCATCCCCAGCTGGCCCTCCCAGGCGAACGCGGTGGTGGTGGTCGTGGTGGGGGGGGGGGCACCTGCCTCTCAGCCCAGCACTCTGGAAACCTGAGGCAGGAGGATCTCAGCTGGCAGCCTTTCCTGGGCAACTTAGATGCTTGGCACAATCCTGTCTCGAAATTTAAAAAGGGGCTGAGGAGGAGAGGTTGTAGCTCTGCACAAACACCCTGGGTTCAATCCCCAGCACAGAGAAGACAAAAAATAGAACGTCCGCCAAGGTTGCATCCCTTGCAGCTCGTGTCCTAGCCTAGGAGAGAGGAAAAGAGTGAACTGACATCCTGAAGATAATTTCACACCACAATATGTACTCTGAAGGGAATAAAACAGTGGATGGGACGGAGAATGGAAACCCATTGAAGGAGCTGTAGTTTAAGCAAAATTCTGAGAGACAAGGACTATATGAAAAGTTGAGAAAATAAAGGCTCTGGCGTGGAAGTAACATCGATGGTTTGGAACCAAGGAAAGGGCTTATGACTTCAGTGTGCTGCTGAGTGGTAGAGTGCTTGGCTAGATTTGTGAGGCTCGGAGTTCAATCCCTAGAATCACCAGAATAAATAAATACCAGCAATAGGGAGGCAATTGGGTGGTTTTGTGCAGGGAAGGGATGTGGTCTGATTTTTTTTTTTTTTTCTGATTAGTTTTAAAGTGATCATTATGTGGTTGGTGCATGGAGAATTGATTGGTGGGGTCAAATGTGAAAGTGGGAAATCATTTAGAAAACATCACTCATCTACTGAGCAATATCTCTGTGTAAAGGATAACAGCCAAGGGGCTGGGAAGATAGCTCAGCAGTCTAAGCACCTGCCTGGCAAGCACAAGGACCTGGGTTTGGTCCTTGGTACCGCTTGCTGTACTGGCCCTGAAACCCTGGGCACCGTGCCAGCCTTAAACCAAGCATGGTGGTACATGCGTATAATCCCAGAGCTGGGGAGGCTGAGACACGAGGATCACTACCAGCTGCCTAGTGAGACCCTGTATCCAATTTTTAAAAAATGTTAAAAATCGTACAGCCAAAGACAGAATAATTTAAACATATCAATTTGCTAAGGAGTAGAACTTTTTAAAAATATAGAGAATACATCTTAACTGTTCAAATGGCACCTGCTAATGAAACACAGTGCCTCGGAGAGCAAAATAGTATTCTTTCCTACACTGCCTTTTTTTTTTTTTTTTTTTTTTTTTTT